TGTCCCTGTGTCCCAGGCACTCTGTGGCCCTGCCCAAATCCTTGCCACCCCCGCACCACCTGCCCGCTCCTGACCCTGCTCGGCATTAGATGTCCTTCGTCATCCCCTGGCCCATCCTTCTGCATGACTGGTGACACACCTGGGACCCACCTTGGGGAGGAGGGGACCTGCCTCTCCCTGGCTGCTAGCCCTGTCTGCTCCTCGGGGCAGGGATCTCGTGTTGTTTGCCTCACCTGAGTTATTTTGCAGCAGGCTGAAATTGCCAGGGACAGGCAACAACAATCCTGGCAGACACTGGCAGCAGGCAGCGTGACTGGCGGCTGACGGGATGGGGTGGTAAGTGGCAATGATGGTATTGATTCATCCCCACCCACGCCAGGATGTGATGGGGAGCACAGGGACCCAACTCACCTTGTCACCTCCTTGAGCAATCCCTGCTGCAGTCCCCATGTGAGCCCAGCTTGGGGTGGGGGGGTATTGGCTTTCTGGTGGGGTTTTCATGCATGATGAAGAGAATTGTCTCTAGCCACATCCAAGCACACCATCCATCTCATTTTCTTAGCCAGCACTAGATGTCATTTATTTTCTTTAATTTCCAGCAAAGCTGCCTCAAGAAGGCCATCATTTGTGCAATCATGTCTCCTCAAAGTGACAAAACACTGAAGCAATTGAGACTTCTGATCCTGGGAGGAGTGTGGGCTCAGGAAGACGAGGGTCAACACCCCATTGCAACCCAAGGATCAGCTTAAAGTTGCAATCTGTTTTCTTGGACTGGGAGCAATCAGCTTCCACTGGTGATTTGGTGAATCAATCTGGACCTCCTGGGGCAGTTTCTGCTGGGTCAGTATGCCCACATAAGCTCTGAATTCTAATTGATTGTCACCTTTCTCCTAAGCTCCATCTTCACATGCCACCACAGCCATTATATCCAGTGTGACTGCCTGGGGTTAAGATTTTGAACCCAAGTTTAAGCACGTCGGCAAACAGAGTCTGTGTCTCTCTGACCTTCTGCACACAAAACACCCTGTTAATAATTTTTTGCAGTGTGGGATGTGGCATCTCAGCCTCTCTGGCTAACAACCCCTGAGTGTTTCCCAAGGAGCACTGCCACCAGGGTGACTTAGGGTTAGGGTTATGGTCAAAAATGTGAAGATGCTTTGCTACGTGCTTGTGGCCAAAGGTGCTTGTAGGTTATGGGTGGAGGGAGGTGTGGGAACATCCCTGACAGACACTGCAGCTGTGCCCAGGTCTGCAGCCTCCAGCATCCTCTCGTGCTGCAGCCAGAAGTCAATGAAGCTGAACAGTTCAGACACTGCCACTGCAGATGTCTGTTAGCAGATAAATACCCACCAATCTTCCCTCCCTGCACTACCACCATTTCATAAAACCCTTTCTCTCCCTTAGTGCTGGGTTGTTTTGTTTTTAGCATTGCAACTCTGAATTGACTGGTGAAGTGAGTGGGGGATTAAGGGCATGGTCCTGGGCAAAGGTCTCCTGTGAACTCCTCGGGGCCAGGCAGCTGCAGTCTCTGATCCCTGGGGTCACATGCCCCACCCCAAAACAAGGGCCACTTGTTTGACATCGCTGGCAGCACTGGGCTTGGGAGAGGAGGCAGCTGGTCTGCTTGTGGCTGAGCAGAGGAGGACATTGCCCGCTTACCTCTCTGGACCAGGAGGGTGTCTTGGGGGTGTCCCAAGCAGTGCCAGAGGGGTACACCTGGACACCAGGCAGCTTTGGCTGGGGTTGAAGGGGTTTGTTGGAAAGCAATGGTCAGAATCAAGTGCAGGTCCTCAGAGTCCACTTTTCACTCCCTTGCACTTCTTTTACTGGAGTGGAAAGGTGTGAAACCCAGCAGAGTTCAAAGGGAGCCTGTACCTGATGGTGACACAGGTGCTCCTGCCTTGCCCTAGCTGCCAAAACATGAGATGGATATGAGAGAAACATGTCACAACCAGCCCTAGCAGCTAAACCCTCTTTGGGCTGCAGTAGCAAGAGACCCTTGGGCATCAGCAACCCCTTGAAGGAGGGAGATCAAGATGCTTTAGAAAGGCAAAACCTAAGGAGCATCCTAAGCATTAATGAACTTATTACAGACACCTCTAAGACAGAAACAGCAAGTCTGTCTGTGCAGTGGGGCACGAAGCTGCATCAGTCCTTTCTGGAGGGTGTTTCTGATGCTCCATCTTCAGAGCAGGGCAATAAGGGCAGTTTTGATGCTACACATTTGAGCCAAGGCCTGAAGCAGCTGCACTTGACCCTATATGATGCAACCCTACAAGCCTTGAGTTTCCTTCCTTTTTTTCCTATTTTGGGCACGTTTTGCCCTGTCATCCCCCACTGTGCTGACAGTGCTGGAGGGAGGCATGTGGCACTTTCCCCCTGCCTCAGCATCCCACGCACTGCGATGGCTCACGTGGGCCTGTTCCCACCACTCTTGACTCAGCTGATTTCCTCTTGCCCAAGGCATTGACCAAGCTCCAGCTGGCCCTGTCCAGGCATCGGCAAATGCGATGGATTGAAGTGGGGGAGGATGTCGAGGACCACCGTCACCCCCACCACTGGCTCCGTGCCCCCACCACCAGTTGCCACCGAAGCAGCCAGCTGTGCACGGTGAGAAGGGCTGGAGGTGGGTGCTTGGATCACCGCACGGAGCCTGGTGGTGTCTGACCTGCATGAAAGTGGGACGAACATCTGTACCTGCTTACCGGTCGTGTTTTGAGCATCCTGTAATTAATGTTTGCTCAGCTGACGGCTGCTTAGCGTTATTAGCAGATGATGAGTAGCTGATGTTGTTGATGTTGCTACCTTGAAACATCTAATTTCAGCATCTAGACTGAGCAAAAGGGCAGGGGGCCAGACTCCTGGTGCCAAGACTCTGCCAGGCTTTGCTGCTTTGGAGGTGGCTTCCTATTAAAACCCTGCACACAGGCATCCCTGCCCTCCCTTAGCCACAACAGTAGGGACAGGGCCTGTGCTGGCAGCATGGTGGGGCCAGCAGCGCCCTTTGCTGGGCCGAGGTGTGCAGAGTCCCGAAGCCTAAGGTAGCAGGAGTGAGCTTGGGGACACAGACACAAGACGACATTCAGAAGCTTAATCCAAAGCCCATTGAAAGTTTATTTTGTATTTAACCCATCTTGATGAACGTGTGTAACACCTAATAAATAACTGAATGTCTGTTAAGGAGCACCGAGTTATCCCACCCCTCCTCCCACACTGCTGAACACAGGCACGAGGAACAAGCACTCACAATGGGATGCTTGTTTATTTATTTATTGGGCGGGAAAAGCATTGAAAAGAGAGCAACACTTCTGAAGCCTTTAAAAAAATTACTGATTACGCTGAGATTAAAAAAACGAAGCCAGTATTGTCTTTATGTCCTCAGCCCGTAATCCCACTGCCACCTGAGCAGCCAGTTTGGTTTTTTTTACGAGGCAGTTCTGGAGAGCTGACAGGGATTTGAGGTGCCATGTCCCCAGGCAGCACAGTGGCCCCTAGTGGCGACTCACATACGGCCCTGGGGAAAGAAACCTGCAACGGAACCTTGGGGGGCTACTTGTTGCCAAGGAAAATTAGGAGCAGAGTCCAAATTGCCAGAGGAGAGGCTCCCCTGCATGGGGTGTGCCATGATGCCAGAGAGAGAACTGAGCACACCCTCGAACCCCATCAGCAGGGAGCAGTTGCTCCCGAGACCTCCACCCATGCCCTCCACACACAGCTCTGGAGACCCACTTAAGCTTGGCCACGGCACCCAGTCCTGCCCTGGCCCCTTCGGTGGCTGGTCTGCAGCCCTGGCAGCCCTGGCTCCTGCATGGCTTGTGCTGCAGGCAGCCCATCTCCACTGCCCTCTCCTGGTGGGACATCGGAGCTATGTGGCAGCTCTGTCTCTTGGATGGACCTCAGTGCTGGGTTGCAGCTTGTCCCTGTCCTGTAGCTCCTGGAGCTGAGTGTCCTACAGGTCTGTGTCTCCTAAGAGCACTCTGTGAGCAGCCTGCATGCCTAAGGAAAACTGACTTGTGCTATAATCTCTTTTATAAGGGGGAATAACTTAATAAGGGCTTTCTTTCTTCAACCTGTTCACCAATTTCTAAAATGTTTGTAGGTCCTTTATAGTTTTGAAATCTTCTAAGTTTGGCTGGAGCTGCCTGAAGGACTTGCTAGCACATCAGTGTCCTCAGGAAACCAAGCTGAGTGTGTCTGGTGAGGCAGGGTCTTAAGGGCTCCCTTTAGGCAGAGAACCTGGGAATAAATCATAGAATCATAGAATGGCCTGGGTTGGAAGGGACCTTAAAGATCATCCAGTTCCAAATCCCCTTGTGAGGGTAGGGGGTGGGCAGGGACACCTTTCACTAGATTAGACCCAGAGCTCCACCCAACCTGGTCTTGAACACTGCCAGGGATGAGGCATCTACACCTTCCTTGGGCAACCTGTTCCAGTGCCTCACAGCCCTCATAGTAAAGAATTTTTTCCTAATATCTAATCTAAACCTATGCTCAGTTTGAAACCATTACCCCTTGTCCTGTCCCTCCAGGCCCTTGTAAACAGAATCTCTCCATCTTTCTTGTAGGCCCCTTCAGGTACCGGAAAGCTGCAATTAGGTTGCCCTGAAGCCTTCTCCAGGCTGAACAAACCCAATTCTCTCAGCCTTTCCTCGTAGGAGAGCTGTTTCATCCCTCTACTCATCTTGATGGCCCTTCTCTGGACTTGTCTCAACAGGCTGATGTCCTTTCTGTGCTGCTCCATCTTGGAGACTGTCTGAGAACAGCCAAAGCTACCATTTTTAGTTCATGCTTCCTTTAGCTCATGTGTGTGGCATTAGCTTCACTTAATTCTTTGAGAAAAGTCCGCAGGTCCTACCGGGCAGGTAGGTGTAGTTGTCAGTGTCACAGCAAAGGTGTCTTTCTCTCCTAGAGCAGTTGCATCTTTTCACTTTATCCTAAGACCTAAAGGACCTCATATCAGGAGCAGAAATGAGCATTAAGTTTTGCATGGGAGTCCACGCTCTTGTCCCCTTTTCCTGAGATTTACTTGCTGCATGTCAGGAAATCTCTCCTTCTCCACCAGAAGGTTTGCCTCCAACTGACCCAGTCCCCTGTGTGGCTGGGGGGGAGGACCGCTGGCCTGCAGCCCATCAGCAGCAGGAGGGGACCCAGGCAGAGGGCACACCGACATTTTGAGCCCCTTGGATGTTATGAAGCCCATCGTCAAAGAAGATGTGAGGCTGGATCTGGGCGAGGATGGGGCCCTTGGGAGCCCCATCCATGAAGAAAGCCTCATCGATGGCCAGGCCCCATTCCCGGAGCGTCTTGATGGCTCGGATGCCCATGTCCCGGCCGCTGCGCGCAGTCACCAGGTAGGTGCGGATGGGGGATTTTTCCTGGCTGAACTTCCTGCGCATCTTCCCGAGGTGCATGGCAAAAGTCTTCAGGGGACCCTGGAAGCACAGCAAGACAGTTGGGAGTGGGTGAAAAATAAGGAGACATCTACCCTGCCTGTACAAGCTACTTGTTCCTCTTCCAGGGTTCCTCAGGGCTCTGCAGAGCACAGCAATGCCTGGGGGCTGCAGGACTGGGCAGTCTGGGACGGGTGCGGTGCACTGGGGTGCTTGGGAGGAAGGTGAGCCTTGTGGTGCTCATCCTAATCCCAAAGTGACCAGGAAGGTACATCTCAGTGACCAGTGCCTCTGGGTCTGAGTCCTGCAAGTGGTCACATCCTACAAAAGGTGATGTTGAGGATAACCACAACCCTGGATATTTGGGAGCTAATGCTCACTTATAGGAGAAAACAGGCCAGATCCATTTCCAGGGGGGCTCCAAATCAGGCCCACACCAGGGACTGAATGGTGGATGCCTAGGGAATTTGTAAGGATTTGCGCTTTTTTGGCTGCTCATGGCAAAGCCCAAGTGGCAGTGATGGCAGAGCCTGTGGGTGCCCAAGGAAGGGAGGTGGCATGCTCACCTCTCCCATGGGCACGGCCTCCATCGCCTGCTCGTACCGCACTGCCCCCTCCAGCCCGTGCTCCTGGAAGATCTGGTCTGTCTCGTCGGAGAAGAGCACGGCATCCCCGTCAAACACCACGCGGAGTGGGGTGCTGGGGGCCCGCACCTCTTGCTGGAAAATGAGCGCTGCTGAGACCCCTGTGAGACAGAGCAAGGTGGGGGTCAGGAAGGACACGCCCCCCGGGGGCAGCTCGTGCATGGCAAGCTCTTCCCCACACATCTGCTGCAGCCCCATCCCACACCACCATGTCAGGATCTCGAAGCCATGGAGCCTTCTGTGGGAGTCAGCCCAGCCTTTCCAGGGCTGTGTTATGCCTCCATGGGGATGGATAAGGAAGTGCTGCTGATCAGAGACCAAGGGATCTCTGCTAAGAGATGGTGTGTGGTTGTCAAGGCATGAGCAGCCCTCCTCCTGGTGCTTGCTCACCCTGCCAAGCCTGGCTTTAATGTTCAGATTTAGCTCTGTGCTGTGAATAACAGACGGGCATCTCCATTGATTGGGGTAATTGGCTTAATTTGGCTTAATTCCTACAAGCTGCACCCTGCCCGCCCTCATCCATGGATCCAGGTCCCCAGATGGGGGACACTTGTCAGAGCAATGATGCTCTCAAGGAGGCTCCAGGAATGTCCTGTGCAGACAAGGAAAGTCCAGGCTGCAGATGTCTTGCTCCTGACCTTGAAGAATGTGGCCAGCTGATGTGCTCATACCCAAGTGAATTAATAAGAAGGCAATTAACCCCATTAGAGCTGTGGGGAGACTGCACTCCCTCCCATCTAGGTCAAACGTGCTTTCATCTATCTCTGAGCACACAGTAACTCTGCATGTACCAAGGCAGCAAATTTCTATGGCATCCTCACAAAGCCCTGGGAATCACTGATGCACACTCATTGATCCAGGGAGCAGCCATGGCATTGCATCTCTGGTTAAAAAGGCTTAAATGTCAGGCAGGGTATGACCAGCCCATGGCAGAGCTATGGCAAGAACAATGCATCAAGCACTCAGTGACTTGTGAAGGCATCTGAGCAACCCTGGTGTGTTTACAGGCTACTGGTAAAAGGACAGAAGAGGAGATTGAACTGTTCAGGACTTTACTGATATTCAATGCCATCCACCCCTTGCCCCCGTGAAACCTCGGGTCTGGCGCTGCCTCTTGGTATTGGGCTACTTGGGAAAAGTGTGGTGTGTTTGGGGACGTGGGATGGAGAGGAGAACGCACCTCTCTGGAGGGCATTGCACACATCTGTCCTGTCAGCTGAGAGGAAGAGCTTGACCCCGTGGGACTTCAGGTACTGTGTGGAGTCCTCATCGCTGACAAAGCAGAACTTGGAGATCTCCAGGCCTTCAGGTCAGGGAATGTAAGAAAAGTCTGTTATGGAGCAACATCCTCCTCACAGCCCCCCAGTCCCTCCCTGGGTTTGGCATGCTTTGCTGCAGGAGCTCAGGGCAATGGATTTCCCAGTGCTGTATGGGGAACCTGCCCATGTTCTGGCTGCATCTTCTTGTTCTATTGCTCCTACAAAACTGTGGAGTGTGGTTAAATATTCCCTCCATCCCTCCTTAAATGAGCATTCCTCATGACAGTACTCTGGGATTTAGGGGTCTTTTATAAAGAACTGGGTTTTTTCAGTAGCTGACTGAGGATGTCCAGGCTGTGCAAAATGCTGCCAGACCTCCTGGTGGTGCGAAGGATATGGCTGGAGAGAGCTGGGCTCTGCCAAGGAGCCTGCGCCCTGGGTGTGCTCCGGCACCCTGGGCAAGCAGCACAGGGCTGGCAGGAATTGAGTTTGTTTCCATGAGAACCCCTTCCCCTTGATTCCCCTGGCTCTCCATTTGCCACTGATGATCCACTGTGGTGCCTTATCTGTTTCACAGCCGCCCGGGGGAAGCAGGTACCCCCGGGGATGGGTCCCTCTTACCGTAGTGCTTGGCGCTGTTGATGATGCGCGCTCCGCTCTCTGGGCTGTTGTTGGAGAGCACCAGGATGTCAAAGAGGTCCTTCTCTGCTGGGTTGCTCTCCAGCATCTTCTTGTTCACATACTGCACTGCCTGTGAGGACAAGATGGGACTCTTTTGGAGAGGCATGACTGCAGTGGCTTTGTGGGGGCTCTTCTGCAGTTGAGTTTAGTGGTTTGTGCTGTGTCAGCTATGGCAAAGCTGGCATGTTATGGAGAGTCAGACGGAGCAACCATCCTGCAAAACCCATCGTTAGGGAAGCAGGGAGCAGGATACCTCACCATGGGGGAGATGGACTGATGAGGAGCACAGGTCTTTATGCCCTGCCATGAGGCCAAGAGGGCCTCACCCTCACGGGGCCTGCACCCTGTGACGATGGGAGCTGACACAGCTGAGAAAGCTGAGCTTTCACCCCATCCTGCAAGTGTCTGCATGTGCCACCAGCCAAGTGTGGGGCTCACCTGGATGAAGGCAAAGGCTGTGCCTGGTGGGAGGGGCTTGTCCTGGTTGGCCTGCTGGTGCCTTGTGTACTCCTCCTTGCCCTTCTCCAGGTAGAGTTTGTGCTCCTTCTCCAAGTTGAAGATGGCTCTGGTGGTCACAGCAATGACCAGTGCCTTGCTAGGATCTTTCTGCAGGACAGGGAGGAAAGAGGAGTCAGGGGACAGCAAAGAAGGGACTCATGGAGGTGGGGTGAGCAGGGGGAACAGGGCTCCACCGACCAGAGTGGTGGTGTTGGGTGTTGGAAGTACCACCCATGTGTCACGGTTCCTGATGCCAGAGGTACGAAGCCCAGTCTTCATCTTCAGGACACCAAGGATGGGGCTGGCAGTTGTGAAACCCTAACCTGTCTGGTAAGTCCCACATCCTCCAAGGACAGCTCATACAGAGGGGATTGCTTCATAATTTTGCAGTTTGTGGGCACAGTACAGCCATGGTTTGTGCTGAGCTGGGCACTGCTGGGTTTCTCTGCACATGCTGGTGGTTTTACCCTTTGCGTCTGTTCTGGACAGTCTAATAAAGTTTCTGTGTACATACAGAAGCTGCTGCTTTCTCCCTGGCCACTCCAAAATTTAAGTGTGAGCAAATGTACCTGCCCTTTCCATGCAACTGGAGGTTCAGCCCCGCTACTTCTTTCCATGTGGAAATCACATGGACCTCCCTGGGACCAGCAGCCCTGAGACAGGCCACTTCTGATAAAACCTAGGCACAAGCAATTGAGGCCACCACAGCTCTGGGCTGCAATTGAGGCCACCACAGCTCTGGGTTGCAGTGTGTCCTCTCCTGTGGCAGCATTTCAAAACTTGGTTTAGAAATACCGGATATGTGTTTTGTAATGAACAACCTTTTACCTGTTTCACATTGGTGTTTATGACTGTGCTTTCAGGCTCTGCCATCTTCAGTTTTCAGCTTCTAAGAGAAAATATAAAATGAAACTGACAGATTATAATATAGCCAATCTACAGAAGGGGAAGAGTGGAAAGGAGACAGGGGACATCCTACCCATCAAGTGGAGCAGTCCGAATGAACTTGCTTCTGCTGGCAGCAGCTCTGCTCCCAGGCAAACTGTTCTAATAGTTCCAATTAAATATGGTGGAAAAGTGGCTTTTCAAACACAGATCATTGCTTTATTTTTATTTATCTCAAAGGGTACTTTTCTTTGTGTGGAACTGCTGAAAGCTGTTGTGGAGCTATTTTCCCGGGAAAATAAGGCTGTCCTTAAAAGACAAAATAGATCAGATCTTATGGGTAGGTTTCTAGTTCACATCCTTATTGCCTTTTTTGCTACTTTTGCTCGAATGGTGAATTTGCATCTACAAATGAATGAGTTCACTGCATGAGAACCTCATTTGCAGCTGTAAAAAGCCAGAGTAAGTAGGGATGTGTGGTGAGGGCTTGACTGCAGGCTGGGACTGGGGCTGGTCTGCCCCTCCACAGCCCTGTGAGCCAGCCAGGCCGTACACTGAAGGTCTCAGTGCTACTCCAGGTCTGGCAGATGAAAATCTTCGGGGAGGTACATGGGTCTGCCTGTGAGGGTAACTGAATCATAATCCCATTTATTTTTGTACACCCAGGTCCTGTGGTTTCTGTAACCACCATGCTGTACGCTCCACTTCTATGCACTAGTCAGTGCTAAAAGTGGACCTTTAGGATTCAGCCTGTGGGATGGGAGCTGTTCCCATTCCCACCAAGTGGGATCCCATGGGGGTTATTTCCATCCAGTAGCTCCAGGATGGAAACACTGCGGGGTTTCTCTGGAGAGCAGAGGAAGAATGACTGCTCTACATGGATTGCTGGGAATGGCAAGGGGGTTAAAACTTCATTTATCAGTTCATGCCCTACCTACTTACTGGGCTGGGGGTTGTGCAAGCATAGACCAAAGCCAGCATGCAGTGTGAAGGGCAAGTCAGGGTCTTCAGGGAGACCTTTCTTTTGTTCCAATGTCCTTTAATTGATTTTTGTTATTCAGGGACTGCAAAGTGTTGCCTGGGCTGGTAGGCAATACACTTGTCTGAGAGCCAGAGCCTTGCCATGGGGAGCTCAGGGCTTGCATGTGCACCCCCTGACTGCCTCTGGGGTGGAGAGTCCTGCGGCAGGGCTGCTCCCCCAGCCAGGGGTGCGTGGAAAGCCAGGAGATATTGAGCATCCCTCTGATTCCTCCATCCCATACTCCATACTGGGAAGGGTCTCCTCCCAGGGACCAGGGCAGAGGGTGGCAACCACCACCCTAGACGAGCAGGGAGAAGCTTTCCTCTGACAGAATCTCAGCCAAGTACTTTTCTGAAAGTCAAAATTTAATGCAAGGAGGCAAAGGAGCTGAGCAGCCCTTCCTGGTGGGAGAACCCACCTCCTAATGTCTGTTCTTCCAAGCGCTGCAAACCAAGCCTGACTTCTCCTTTCCACCTCCCTGCCCCTAATGCCCCTAATGCCCGCAAGTGCTGTTCGCACACAGGCGGGTGCTGCTGGTCCCCGCAGCTGCGTAGCGGGGGGCAGATGTCACCCCCCCCTAGACACAGACAGGATTTTGTCAGAGAGAAAAGCCCAAACTCACCCCGAGCGCTGCCTCTGCTCCGCAGCACAACCTGTCCAGCGGCAGCATCCCAGCTCTGCCCAAGACGCCGCTGTTTATATTTCCCCCTCCCCGCGCTGGCAGGAAGCAGGCAGGAGCCAGGATGGGGTGCAGCTCCGCTTCCCGGCGTGCTGGGATTTGTAGGCAGCCAGGTGGTTGGCGTCGTGCCCGGGCCAGACTGCATTTCCCAGCTGGCGTTGCACAGGCGGATCGTGGTCACCCGGGCCTGGTCACGGACAGCCGCGGCCAAGCCGGGGAGGCGGCTCAGCCCTATTCCAGCTTCTGGAGCTCCCTCGGAGCTTGTGCTCAGTGGCCGCGCACTGCCCACAAGCGCTGCTGCGGTATCTATTTCTGTAGCCGGAGTATTTATAGCATGCCTCTAGACCTCTCCTTTCCCAGTCTCTGAATACACGGTGGTTGTAGTTTTGACCAAAAGTATAGGGGTACCTGCACCAGAGTGGCTCGCAGCGGTTGCAGGGATGTGGGGAGCAGAGGGTTGTGCAGAGTGTGGCAGGGTGCAGAGGGAGCTTACCATATTTACAATTTTCCTGTAAAGTTTTTGGTTCCCTTCTCCCTTCTTTTCTGAAAGCTGTCTCTCAGATAGTGCCCTGAGCAGGGGTGATTTTTGGGCTAGGATCTTGCTTTTCTGGGTAGCTGTGTGGCACCCAGCCCTGTGAGGCTCATGGTGCTGGAATATGTCAACACCCCCTTTCTCTGCAAGAGTGTGATTGGCGATGGGGAGGGGGGAGAAGGAGGTAGGGGGACAGGGTGGAAAGGAGAAGGGGAAAGGAGCTACCATGACCTGCTGCCATCCTGCAGCTTTTCCCTTGCCCAGCTAGGCCATGTCCCTGCCCCACTGCTGGAAAAAGGCCCAGTGCAGCAGCCTGCCCAGCCTGGCTCCTGCCAAAGGAGACCAAACCCACCTGCACTAAGGCAGCTGTCTCCCTGTATGGCACCAGGTTATCACCAGTATCACCAAATCTCATCTGAAAATGTGGGAGGCCTCTGGGGTCCTGTGCACTTGGCTTCACTGAGATCATAGAACCAGAGAATGGTTTGGGTTGCAAGGAATCTTAAAGTTCCAACCCCTACATCATGGGCACTGATGCCACATACTAGATCAGGTTGCTTAGGGCTTCATTCAACCTGGCCTTGAACTCTTCTGGGGATGGGTCTCTGGAAAACCTGTTCCAGTGTCTCATTACCCTCCGAGTAAAGAATTTCTTCCTAAGGTCTAAATCTCTTATCTTTTAATTGTCTTTAGCAAACAGCCTGTTGAAAAGACTGCTGATATACTCAGCTTTTAGCATGCTTATGCAGACCCCCTTTCCCTGACTGATTTTATTGGACACATTCCCTTTTCCCCCATCCCCATAATGCATTTCTCCTGTGCATCCTCTGGGCCTGCCAGTTTAGAGCAAAAAGTCCCCCCTGAGGTTTGCTGCAGCATCATTCCTGCAGCATCTCCTGCTCCTGGAGGTGATGCTTCTCTGAGCAGCAGGAGTGCAGGGCACTTGTGAGTAGGGTTGTGGTTTGGATGGCTGAGGGGCAGCCCCAGCCCCTGTCCCATGGCTGGGCACCTGGTATGGCAATGCCTTGGTGGTCATGTGAAAATCTGGCAGGACCGGTGAGCCAGGGTTGTGGGGCAGAGCTGGGACAGGTCTGGTTTCCGGGACATCTCCTCCCACGACTACGTCAGCCATCAGGCACTGGCAGTATTGCTTCCCGCTTCTGACACCACACCAAATTTACGTGGTGATAAGGCAGGTTTTGGGCAGACTTTGCTGAACTGGCAGCAAGGGAAGAACTTTACAAGCATAAATTTAATGCAACAGGGATGCCCATGAAATTGCTCCTGGCTATGTGCCTAGTGTTGCACTCGTTGGCACTTGGGGGATGAAGCCACTCAAGCAGTATTCCCTTACCCTGTCTGTCCTCCCTGATGTGTTGGAGCAGAGCATTCCTGTTCATCCCCACTGCTGCACACATTTCCAAGGCCCTCACGTGGTGCATGCCCTGTGGGACAGTGAGCTGGGCTCTCCAAGTACAGAGCTCACCAGGAATGGATACAGTACTGCACCCATCCCATTGCAAGTGTCCATTCTCTTGTGCTAAGTGCCTGCAGCCACACAGTCCAGCCCGGCAGGGATAACTTGGAGAAGTGAATTTCCCGGTGCACAGAGCTGGGCAAGGATGCCCATCAACTTCTCGCAGGCAGGAGGGCAGGTTTTGCTTCCTGGTCCAGCAGGGAGTTCCCTACTGGCTTTTCGCCTGCATGAACACTGCTTGGGTCAGCGGTGAGGTGGGGCTGACAGAGCTGCTGAGGCCACCCGGTTCCTGAGCTGGCAAAGCAGACTTTCCTGTTTCGGCTGTGCAGTGCAGTCACCATCCCTTCTGCACCCTCGGCTCCACGCCCAGTGGGGTCCCATCTCACCCCACAGCATGTCCCTGCCACGCATGGTGGCTTGACCTGGATCCTGCACAGCAGGGAAGGGAGACTGAAGCTGAGAAAGATACTTGTTGGTAAGTCTGGATTTGGGAACTCAGTCAGCACAGGGTGGGAGCAAGAATCAGGATTCTCCCAGACCCTTTTCAAGGAGCATGGATGCTCAACGGTCCCTGCAGACTGCCCACTGAAACTATGCTGCCTCTCCCAGACTGCAGCAAGGCTGTAACTATCATTCCCAAAATGGTGGCTCAGATCATTCTGCAGGGCTGGGATGAGTTTTTTTTAAACAGGGCTAATGTTAGACTAATGTGGGGATCTGGTGGCAGGCAAGAAGTACTGAGACAACTAATTCTGAGCTGGGTGGGTGCCTGCTCGGCTGAAACTGCAGGCACCTGAAACTGCTGAAACTCTTAAATACCTGAGCAGAGCTTCGGGTGTCCAATGGCACAGATGTCCCAGGTGGTACTGGACAAGTCACTTAACCTGCACCTCATTGTCCCAGCAACAATGCCACAGGGATGACAGCAATTCCCATGTCTCTCCAGCCCTATGCCCACATGCAGCAAAGCTCACTGCTGGAAAAATAAAAGGGTCTTGCTGGCTTTGCAGGCTCAGCAGAGGGAAGTGCAGATGTGATTTCTCCCCAGGAGAACCCCATGCAAGGAGCACCTTGGAATGGGCAGAACGTGGGTAGAGTGCAGGCAGGGTGAGGTGGTGTTGACTGCTTGAGCAGGGACCCACGGGGATGCAGGGCAGGAGGCTGGGGCTGCCAGGGCAAACAGGCACATACCTGCCAGCCTTGCTCACAGCAGTGAGGCTGGGTGCCACCCTTGCCGTGGTGGCTGCAGACGCTCTCACCAGGCAGCCTGACTCCTGGCACATCTCTCCTGCTGACGCAAAAGGAATTTCGCTATGAGGAAGCACTAATGCTAGAATAAGAGCTTTGCCATGGGGAGAGCAGTGCTGTAAAACCACCCTGCTTTAAATTTCAAGCCTTTCCTTAAGCTGTGTCAACGTTGCCATGTGCACAGATCAGGATCACAGAAAGTTTCCAAATCGCTGTGAACCCAGCATGGTGGTGCCACTGCCACCAGCAGCGAGGGCAGCAGTCCTGCTGCAAGCCCAGGAGCCAACCATCCTGCCCCTCAGCCCTGTGAGAGAGGGGAAAATAGCCAAAAAGAGGTGTTAGCTAGTGATGGGGCTTTCCTGGAGCTGAGCAAACCCTTCAGCTCATGCTCAAAACCAAAACAGGTCTTGGTTTTGTCCCCTACAGACGGGCGACTCCTCAAAAAACCACCAGAAAACTCCCTAATCCATCCCCCTCATCTCTCTCCTTTCAGAAAGCAGACTTGCAGGGATATGAACGAGAAGGCTGTATGCGAAGGGCTGGCTGGCGCAGAGCCCTCCCTGCCCGCGGCTCCCTCCCGCTCCATTTCACAGCTCATTGCCAATGTGGCCAAGCCCTAACCGCTTACCCTGGGCTCTGTATTTTAATTGTGTTTGCTCTCGTTAGAGCCCTGGGCCACGGGCAGCACAGGTGCTACTGGAAAGGAAATCCCCACCCTGTTAATTTTACCTGTGTCCCCAGGTCACGCCAGCCATGGCAGTGGCAGCCAGGATAGTCAGGACTACGACCTCCCCGCATGCCAACATCACCACCACAGCTTGGCCAGGCTTCTTGGACAGCTGGCTTAGCCGGATCCCATGTGAGTACAGCAGCTCTTGCCCTACTCTCAGGCAGCATTATCTGGTGGGGCTCCTGGACTCTGAGGCTATGAGGCTATGAGGACTCTGAGGCTCTCTCCCTCCAAATCCCTTTTTCTAGTGGGGTCCTTCAGGGTGGGGATGCTGCAGAGCGGTACCATGCTGCTCCAGGAGTGCAGGGCATCCTTGCTGCTCATTTGGGGAATGGTCTCCAGCTGCAGCCTCCCTGAATGGGGACTGTCCAGGAATATAGGGGCAATTTTGAAAGTACAACTCCTTAATGCTGAAGCACCAGGAAGGGGTTTAAATGCACTCCATATGTATTGCTTGGTTTTAACTGTTCTGTCCAATTCCATTCCTCGAACATCACACCAGTACCCAAATGGGCGCTCATCACCGTGGCTGTGGCAGGGGCCATTCTCCTCCTCCTCTTCCTTATCTGCATCATCAGGTGCTGCTGTGGCAAGAAAAAGCCCAAGAAGAAGGAGAGAATCAGCTTGTGCCCTGTCAGCAACTCAACCACAGCCAGCCTCGTGCGTCCTGCTTTCCCCTCAGTCCCACCTCCCTTCTCCCTGAGAGGTTTGCTGCTGCACTTCCCAGTCCCAGGGATTGTGGGAGCACGGCATGGCGGGGACATGGCTGAGCACATCCTGAGGGTAGTGTTGCTCTCTGCCACAGGTCCAGCCTGAGATGGAGGACCTGGAGCGAGGAGTGGAGCAGATGCGTCGAGGAAAGCTGCAATACTCCCTGGAGTACAACTTCCGCACGCAGGAGGTGGGGATGTTTGTGGCCATGGCACAGCAGGGAAACAGCTTTGCTCTTGCATGATCCCTTTTTGCTGTCCACTGAGGTGGGCCCAGGTTTCCACCTGGCTGCAGCCTGCCAGCTCTCATGCCCACATGGTGTGAAGGCGTCCTCCCTGTTGCACTCGCTTCCCACTGAGCCCTCAATTGTCTGACCCTGTCCTCCTCCACCCGGTGACCTTGTGCATCACTCCTTTCAAGCTGAAAGTCGGTGTGAAGCAGGCAGTTGAGCTAAAGGCCATGGACAGTGGAGGCACATCCGATCCATATGTGATCGTCTACCTAACGTCTGATATGAAGAAGAGATACGAGACCAAGGTTTACCGCAAGACCCTGAACCCCATCTTCAACGAGAGCTTTACTTTCCAGGTAGAAAACTACAGCCAATGATGGCTTTTTGGTCCCATCAAGAGTGTTGTTGCATAGGCACTGCTCCCTGGGCAAAAACCTCTCCAGGCAGGGAGATGCTTGTGCAAGCAGGATGCTTGTGCAAGCAGGATGGGGAAGAGTCAGAGAGAAATATCTGTTATTGCATTGTTACTGCCACATCCCACGGGGAAGGGCTGCCACTGAGGAGTAAATCCTGGCTTTTGGGTCCTCCCCTGTAGGTACCCCAGGCAGAGGTGCCTGAATGCACACTGGTGATGCAGATTTATGACTTCAACCGCTTTGCCAAGCATGACATCATTGGTGAGGTCCGGCTGCCCCTGGCCAGTGTCAACCTGCAGCACGTTATCGAGCAGTGGAGTGAACTGGCGGCGGCCAGTAAAGTGGAGGTCGGTCCTGTTGGGTGGGAAACTCTGCCAGGAGGGATGCACTGTTGCTTCACTTGCCACCACCCCAAGAAGCAAGCCCTTAGGGGCAAGCACAAGAGTGGGGGAGACTCGGGAAACCTGGGGCCTGGTGTCATAACCCCAGGCAAGCTGGGTCCTCTGCCTGGTACTAATTGCTGGCATCACTCCATCAGGAAGAGCAGCTGGGTGAGATCTGCTTCTCACTACGCTATGTCCCCAACACTGGCAAGCTGACGGTGCTCATCCTGGAAGCCAGGAAGCTGAAGCGAATGGACTCTCATGGACTCTCAGGTCAGCTGGGGCTGCTGTGCTCAGATCTTCCTACTCCTGCCCAGGCTTCAATGATGGTACCAAGAGCTGCAAAGCCTTGAAAGCTCTTGGTGTTAAGACCTGCTTCCTGCTGCCACCACCCTACCCAAACTTTGGCTGACTCCCAGCCTTCCCAGCACAGATACTCCAGCTTTGTGCAGAGCTGGAGATATCTTCCAGATGTTATGGCTGGATTGTACAGGAAGCTTGTGGCAGGAGGAGGTGAGCTCTGGGGTGGCTGGCTCACCATGAGGAGTGACAAGTAGATGCCATGCTCTGCTTGGGAATGGCTCAGGGAACCTGTTTCGTGGTTGAGCTTCTCAGTCAAAAATTGTCACTTGTGCCAGCTGTGTCCTCTCTCTCCTCAGATCCTTTTGTCAAGGTGCATCTCATCCTGAACAGGAAGAAATGGAAGAAGAAGAAGACAAGTGTGAAGAAAAACACCTTAAGCCCTTACTTCAATGAGGTGTTTGTTTTTGAGGTGCCTTTCAATCAGATCCAGGTGGGTTTCCCTGCAGCACCCAGGGCTGAGCAGGTCCCCACTGCAGCAAGCCCCCTCCCACTGACCCTCTTTCTTGTGTCCCCCCCAGAATGTGGATGTGGTCATCTCTGTCTGGGACCACGACAAAGTGACCAAGAATGAGCCCATCGGCAAACTGTTCCTGGGCTGTCGAGCCACAGGCAACCAGCTGCGGCACTGGTCCGACATGCTGTCCAACCCACGCCGGCCTCTCGCCCAGTGGCACATCCTGCAGCCCCCCGATGTGGTTGACAAAGCCCTGGGACTGAAGTCTCACCTCAAGCTGCCCCTGGCCTCCAGATAGTGGGGGTCTCCTTCTCCACCCATGGAGCAGGATGGTGGGCTTGTGGAGGAGAGAGGGGCTTCTGCTCAGCAACACCTTGGTCCCAGCTCAGTGTCAGCAAAGAGGGCACTGGGACTCCTTTTGGCTAAGAGATGATCTGGCTGCTGGTGCAGTTCATGCCCTGTGTAATGCCTGGGGTGGGGCAGCTTGGTATCCCAGGGCAATGCTGGACATGGAGCAGAGGATGCTAGAGGAGATGACATGGGCACAGGAGCCAGCTCACCTCAACTGCTCATGGGCCGGGGGCAAAAAATACACAGAGCTTCAGGCTCATGCAAAAACACTGAGTCCATTGATATTTATAAAGCAGAGGATTAACTTTATGGTGGCATGGGTGGGAAGTTTCTTTGGTTGTGAATAATTTGACAAGAGGTGTGTTCTTGGAAAGGCTTTACGTGTCCTGTGAAGGCTTTTAAACAAGACCAAGATGTTGAAGCACCTAAGAGGCTTGAGAGGAGAGAAAGAGTAGAGGTTGGTGAGGAAGGTTTTGGAGACATAGGACTACGTCTCCAACAGAGAGCTCTTTAGTGCCTCTGCTTTAAACGTCCTCTGTGTCCTGGCTAGAGGCTAAATGAGGCAGCAAAATCACGCACTGATTGTCCACGTGGCTTCACTCTTAGCTCATTCCCAGCCCATGATGATTTGTGCACTCTAAGATGTCAGTCAGGCTACGGGACTCATCAGTGAGCATCCCCATGGACCACACAGATGAGGATGCACAATGTCAGGTCCATTCGCCCCACACAGCCCTACAGTAGTGGCACAGCAAGGTTTGCACCTCTGGCACCTGGAGGTGCTGCCAGGGTGGAGGGGCTGAGGCTCTTGCTTTCATAGTGTGATCACACTACCCTAATAAGGCTGGGTTGCAGCCCTCACGTCACTCCTGGGCAGGTTTCGTGTGATCTGGAAGGTTTTTGTGGCCACGTTCCTGCCCTGCCCTGCTTTGTGGGGGCAGGGTGGGGGCTACATAAGTAAAGATCACTCCTAGGAGGATGAGGGCATCAGAGCCGTGCCTCTACATGCCCTTGATTACACTACAGTTTGGGGTGGCTCAAGAGCAGCTCCTCTGAGCCATCTGCAGGAGGAAGCTCCTTGGATTGGGCTAGAGGAGGAGGAAATTGCTTTTGCTCTAAAATACTTCTGCTACAAAGCAGCCACAGCACACACAAGATCTGGGCTCATATCTCAGAATTTTGGCCCAAAAGACAAAGGTCCTTTTCACCACAGGGAGCTGCAGGCACAGTGCTAATAGCTATTGCATGGACTGTGGAGGGGAGAGAGCCCAGTGCATTAATGAAAAGCCATTAATATTAAAGAGCGGTTAATCTGCGATTACCCAGAGCTCCACGGAGCGACTATCCAAGAGTTAAACAAACACGAAGCTGAAGAAGATTATGAAAACTCTCGATAGAGATTAATGACCTGATCTTAACCATAAAAACCTGCTGTGTCTGCTCCATGATAAATATTCTCCAGGCTTCACTGTGGCCGTGAGGAGGGAAGAAATGACAGGGTGGTTTCGAGATGACTAACAAGTGAAGTGTGGCTTCTGCTGGGGAAACAGCATCTGCTGGCAGCCGCTAATGAGATGGAGGAGGAAATCAGTCACCTGAGAAAGACTTGTAAAGGGATGTTTTAAAGCCTCAGCCTTCAGTCTCAGCCTAGAACAGGCTGTGCAGAAGGGAACATCTCTGAATTGGGTTTGGGGTCCAAAATTTACTGCAAGGCTGGTTTTTGGTGATGCTATGTGATGATTTAGGGCCATGCAGGACCCAGAAAGGCTTTTGGAGGTGTTTGGAACAGGCATTTGTGTGTGCACGTGTGTGCGTGCATATTTTCTGGTTCCCCTATTTTGAAGTCAAAGCCTTGGGGTTCACTGCATAATTTATGGGGCTGGGCATAAAAGCATGTGCATATTACTCCCAAAACAGATGCAGTTGAAGAATGTACAGGGACATCACCTCCTTGAGAAACATTACCCCCTGTACCAGTGCCTGCCCCTTCTCTCTCCAGCTTTGGCCCTGCTCAGTGCCTGAACTGAGTGAGCAGAGCTGGTGAGGCAAGCCCGTGGTGTTTTTAGGGGGAAGACCAGGGAACCCGGAAGCGAGCACCCAGCTGGACTGGCTCCGGGCAGCCTGGAGTGAGCCTTGGTGCAGTAAAACTCAGCAATCTGAGTTGTTTGTTCAGGAGGGAGAGGCGAGCACGTGGGGATGTTCTCCACCTAGCTCCAGTTTTTAATGCACCGCCGAGGCTGCTTTTTCCCTCCGTCATTGCTTTTCCTTCTCAATATGCCTTGTGCGTTTACAACAAGGCTTTGAGCACTCTCCTCCTCTGGCAGGATCCTCTTAGTATCTGCTGGCAGCTGTTTGAAGCAGGGCTGGTGGATCTGGGCTTCATTTCATGGCTAATTTCACCCGAAATGAACACAGCCTGCTTGGGAGCCTGTTCACAGGAAGGCAAACAGCCCTGTCTTGTCTGCAAGCCGTCTCCTTTTCACCTCCCTGTGGCCTCAGCAAGGCTGGTTGTCCCTCATTCACCAAGGCCAGATGTCTGACTATCTTCTACCTGACCAATGCTGCTCATGCACTTGGAGAGTGGAAGATGCAACAGAAAGAAAAGTTAAAGGAGGGGGAAAACAACCCCTCCTCAGCTTGTGTCTGTGCTGGATTCCCATGTCTGCATCTAGGGGGCAGGGCAGGTACATGCTCTAAAAGCTGCGTGTTTCTGTCTTCTGGTCTGTGGCCCTTGTTAGAGCCTCACCAGCCAAGATTTCTTCTCCTGGAGATGGAGCGTGTTTGCAAGAAGGGGAGAAAGAAGCAAGAGAGAAACCACGGGCATAGAGCCAGCTGGTAGCCAACTGGTGGCTGGAAGCTGGGGGTGTCTGAGTGGCTTTTTCCAGGAGGCAGGAGCCAGCCTTTGGCTGATCCTGCACCTCAAGGGCAAAGAGGGGTTTGCTGGTGGGTTAAGGGGGACAAAAGTAGGTATCCAAAGCCAGTCTGCATGGTGCAAGGTGCCCAGGTAGTGGGTGTGGATTTTGTCACTCTGCACTTAATTAGAAGCTTTGCAGGTCGGTGTCAAGGTGAAAAGCAGGGCTCGGGCCAAGCAGAGGTCTATTAAAGGAGACAAGAAGTACTGAAAATTGAGATGTTTGCTATTAAGATTCATAATCTCAATTATTTACATCTAGATCCAAGACTTCTGACCTCCAGAAGTCGCTCCCAAAGTGAATTATTCCCATATTCAGTGATTTTTATGGTATTTGTCCCTGCACTTTAAGAAATCAAATGGGAGAGCTGCACAAGGAGAAGGCTGAGCCTCATATGTGCTTGCAACCAGTCGTCTGCCGTGAGATAAAAATGATTACAGGCTGTCATCATTCGGCCTGGGTATGGACTGGCTGTCCTCCAGCTGCAGATTTCTTGGCTAGTCTTAGAGTTTTTGAGAGCTGGAGAGTATCTAAGCTCTTCTCACTAGGAGCAAGCATGCCTGTTTTACAAATATGCCTTAGCTAGCATCTTTATATCTTGCAATTTTGTGGGCAAAATGGGTACTTTGTCCTGCATGGGTTTTATTTTTTAAAAGCTCTAGCTCCTGGATTCGTGGGGTCTTGTGCAAGTTTGCAGCTTTTTTCTTTTAAAGCACGTTTGTGGTTGTTTGTGTGCTTGTGTAAACATATGAGGAAGCCTCTCAGCTCAATACCCAGAAGCGAAGTGGGAGGGTGGCTGGCTTTTGATTGAGGCTCTTGCAAAGGAGCGGGGCCCTGGCAGCCACTGGCCATGCCGTGAGCCCGGGGTTTTCCGTGGGAGGCTGGTGATGTGTGATGGGGAGGTTTGCAAGCTGGGTGGGGGGAAGGCCAGCACCCCTCAGCTGGCACAGTCAGTGGTACAGTCAGGGGGCAGCTGCTGGCCCCCGGCCCCCTGCCCTTGCCTACAGCAGCAGCACTGCAGCAGCACAACACAAGGCAGGAGGGACAGCTGCCATCAGCCAAGGGGTGTCTGGGAAACTGTGGTAGGAAAGAGGGCACTGGGAAGGGGTGCTGGGAAACCATCCCTGATTGGGATTGATGGCAAAGGGGTGGAGATTGAGAGGTCATGCCTGGGTGCTGGGGTCTCCAGGGCCTCACATGGGAGGGAGAGAGTGGGGGCTTTGTGCTGCAGCCAGGAGCAGGGTGGGGGAAAGGAGAGCGGGAGGAGGGCTGTGGGATGGTGTGCTGCTGCCTTTCTGGGTGATTGCTTCCTCCTCTGCCCCATCCGAGTCTGTTGTGGATGTTACTCTCAGTTTCTGAGAGAGATGCAAGGAGCCCTGTCCCTATTCCTATCCTTATCCCTAGTCCCCTTTCCTTATTGCCTTTTTCCTACTCTTTCCTCCCCCTTTATCCTGCTTGCTTTTTCCAGCCCCTTTTCCCTGCCCTGACTGCTTCTGGGTCTGTTATATCTGGGACTGTTCCTGCCCCAGGTTGGGCTTGTTTTGCTTCTGTATATGGAGGTATTTTTAGGACCACTTTACATCTCAATGCACCTTGCCCTGCCATTTGCAGGCAGGCAGGAGAATCTTCCTCATGGGGTTAGAAGCTTCCTGCCCCAAACAGTCCGGTCCGAGGACCAGGAATGATAATGGATGTGTGGAGGTGCTTCCCGAAGTTCCATTTGAACTTTGTGGACATACCTGGTAAAAACAGACCTCCCACTGCTCCATACTTCAAGCATAGGCAGGATGGAGCCCAGGGAGAAGCAGCACAAGGATTTCATAGCTTTTATGCTGCCAGGCAAGAAGTGCTCCCCAAAGAAATTCATCATTACGGGTGAGTGGGTACCCATCAGTGATGACTTGTTGCATGTCAACAAGATGGGAGTTTCTCAACCAGCCCTGCTGACTTCACACAGAGGTGATGAAACCTCTGTGTGAGGTTATTGGCACTTATTGCCATTCAATTCGAGCAGAAACAAGAACGAAGTATGTTAGCAAGAGGAGTTCAACTGAGCTTGAAAAGAGGCCTTGGCCTGCAAACAACCCAACCCACATCTTATTTTACGTCCTGTGAGCAGCATCTGGGAAGATGGTAGGTTTGCAAACAAGTGTTTCATCACCCTGACATCACGCAGACATTGCAGATATCCCTGTCTGAGCCCCAAAAGCCCTCTGTAGGAAATGGGCACTTGGAGCTGTGAATCAGTCATCGTTCCCTTAGGAAGAGAAACATTGTACCCTTGGAAGAGC